CGTCGCGCGTGGGAAAAGGGCCGGGGGCCTAGGTCTTGGTGGAAGTCCGGGCAGCGATGGCGACCGCGCGCGCGCGCAGTGGCCGCGGTGTGCTCGAATCGATCTGTGATGCGCATCTCGACCTTGGCGGTCGCGTTCTTGCGTCCGATCTGGTCCATGGGTCCGTTCGACCTGCCTGGAGGCCCCAACACTAACGTGAGCAGCCCCTTGGCCAACCAGGTACACTCGATGACGCTGTGCGCCATGCAAGTCGTTCGAGGCCGCCGCGCGAATGGCTCCGGTCACGGCGCGGTCCATGGCGCGGCGCTGTGTTCGCCGACATACTAGAGCGTGGTACTCGCCGCTCGGCTGCGCGTGGTGCCACCCTGGGGCTGCCACAGAGGCGCTCGAAGCTGTGCCGCCACTGGGAATCGCCGCTCCGGCGCCCAAGCGTTCGTCGACACAGCCAATTCCCGCGAGCAGAGCACCTCCGGAGTCACCCATGGGTACGAGGTGTCCACCGCCGCCACCCTGACTCCAGGCGTCGCGCTCCATGGCCACGCGCGACGAGCCGGGCTGCCCCTCGAGGCGCTCCGCCCGGAGCCGGGGCTGCTGGATGCCGGCGGATTCGAATCCGACCAATGAAATGCTTGCATTATATCGATTTTGTCGATTTTCGACGCCTCCGAGCGCTCCGACCGCGTCGCCAGACGTCCCCACAAGTCCATTTACGCGCTCAGGGCGCTCACATCAGCCTATGCAGTGATTTGGCGACGTTCCTGGGCCTGCTGGGCCGAGTTTGAGGCCGGTGTCACCCCCCTTCCCCGGCGCCTTCAACGTTGAGCCGCGCTTCGCGATCGATTCGTTGTTCAAGAAGCGCTGTTGCTCAGTCGTCAGTCGCATCGGCCTCGCGCACCCACGCTGTTGCGCCGCGCGGAATCTTGAGGCAAGCGCACCACCGACACCGCTCCGTAGCACCACCCACGGACACCCGCACAAACCACCCATGGCGCGAAGGCCAGCAGCGCTCTTGGCCCTCTGCGCCGCGACGGCCGGCGGTTTCCTGCGGCCGGCGCCGCAACCGCTCCACGCGACGGTGCGCGCCGCCGAGTCGCCGCTCGCGTCCTCCTCCTCGACCCTCGAGGCGCGGTGGGTCGCCCCCGAGTGCTGGGTCGGCGACGAGGCGGACCTCGGCGACGCCGAAGCCGCCGCGCTGCTGCCGCTCTACGTTTTGGACGCGCCGCTCGTGCCCGGGTCGACGCACGAGATGACCGTGCGCCACGACGACGCGGGCCTGCTGGCCATGGTCGACGACCTGCTGGCGCGCGGCGGGCGGCGCATGGTCACGACCATGGGCGTGCGGGAGCAGGACGACGGGTCCGCGGCGCTCGCGCAGATGGGCTGCGTGATGACCCTGGAGTCGGTCAAGGAGGGCAACGGCGACGTCAAGTGGCGGGTCACGCACGGCCTGTCGCGGGACCGCGTGCGCATCGACAAGGTCATCGCGCGGGGCGAGGGCGACGAGTCCTACCTCCGATGCGTCGCGACGGACGTGCCCGACGAGCCCCTGGAGGTCTCCGCGGGCGCGACGGTGCGCGTCACGGACGGCAAGCGCCTGGGCGCCGAGGGCGTCGTCGAGGCCGTGGTCAACGGCTGGG